TCAACGTCGATCCACCGGTAGCGGGATGTTTTAGATCTGAGGATAAGTGGCCGATACCTAAAACATCGAAGGTTCTCAAAGACCGGGCATAAGAGATCTTTTAAAGGTAAGCTTCCTACAATTTTAAGTTCATTGATTTGAATTTCAAACTGAAAATTGATTTTTTTCGAAGAGGTGGACGGAGATTCCGCTGAAATTTAGAAACGGCCTAATCAAGGCGTTGCTGATAGACAAATGCTTCTCAAAATTATCCCTCGTATTTTGAAAGTTGTGTAACTCCATTGTAATTTATGCAATTGATGGTATTTTACTTTTTTTAATGCTCATTGTTTTACTATTTTTCATAATTTCCATTGATGGTTTCTTATCCATTGTTTTAACAGATGCTTGGAGAACAAAAATCGGAATGGTGCAATATGGGTAAAATCAATCGTAATCTGACTATATAATATTCCTTTTAAAAGTTACAGTGTTGACTCTAAATCAATATTAATGTTTAAAAGCTACAGTGTTGACTCTAAATCAATGATTTGTTTGAAATGGTTAAACTCTACCTAATTTGCCTAACCTGCCTATTCATCATAATCTTAATTACTGGCGTATTCATCAATATTAAAATCTCTAGTATGAAATTACAAAAAAATAACCTCCACATTTTTAATCATTACATATAAACTAATGAGTTCAAATAAATAATTTTCTGGGATTAGCTAAACTCTGGCTATTCTGCCTGTTGTTCTCTTATAATATAGTTTCCCGAAAATAAAAACAATGATTTCCGGAGCATAACTAAAATCTGCCCAAGCTGTATAACTTTAAATCTTACAAATTAATCTCTTGAAATGAAACCAATTATCTTTCCTAAACTCCATCAATTTGCCTAGTTTTTCTTCTCTATATTACTCTGTGTATGCTCAAGTATTAAAAACTCTAGGTGTTTTATGCTCTAGAAAACCTTTTGAATTTTCTAACACTAACTAACTTTGTGATTATCTTTCTAAAATAAGACCTATATCATCTTAAACATATCTTACTAAAATGTCTAAACCCTGCCTAATCTGCCTAACTTGTCTTCATAATCTTAATTACTGGCTAAACTCACCATTTTTTACTTCAAGATGACCTCTATAACACTCTCACAACTTTAACTCTCAAGGCCCAACTGGACTTGGTACGATCAATGTCTTTGATCAAAGACCACATCCCTGTTTGGGTTGATGAACCTGCCATTGATTAAGTAGTAGTAGGAATGATATGCTTGTGAAATGCTTGTTTATGGTGTGGTTTGCAACCCTATTACGTGTATTTATAAGGACATAATGGAGTGTCTTCTAAAAGTAAATTGGTTTTAACCAATGGTCCATTGAACCCGAATCTTTACTAAAGATTTTGTAGTACAATCATTAAATGAGATCAATAAATACATTGAACTTTTTATGAAAGCTTTGATTACACATCTCTATTTAGTTAAGGCATGCGGATATGTAAAGGACATTTAAGGATTTTTTTAGTACAAACCAATTAATTCGAAATGACATAGGCCCTTTTTTAATATTAAAATTGTACTCTACATAATCTTTTTATTGAGCCCTTACAATGCTTTATTGGGTGTTGGGCTTTGCATTTAATGGTGTAAAATTTATCCACAGAAGCTGTCAAACCCATTACAAAAGTTTTTGCAAAGGCATGCATGTGTATCGTTGTTGGTTTGAGGGTTATCTAACGTTACTAAACTTGAATACTCGTATGTTTTAGAAAATAGTATTGCAAGGCATTATTGTTTTAATGCTTTTCAAATATGTGTCTTTCAAAAATTTGTGAAACACAGAGCTGAATGGTTTCTAACTGTAAAAATCATTTTTTATTGTGTCATCTAGGAAATGGTTTCAATAAATCTTGCAGGTTTTGATAGGAGAGATGTATTTTTCTTATTTTTAGTTATTAGGTTATCATATAGACCCTTAAAAAAAGGTTATCATATAGAAAATGTATAATTCATAGGTTTTGGAACTTTAATAATGTTTCTAATCATATAATATTCATAAGTAAAATGCATTTAATAATTAGATTAAAATATGATATGCAGGTCTGAAGTTTGAATAGCTTCAAAGGCAGGTATAAATCTCATTATCATGTCATTTTATTATTTCAATAATAGGCTTATTTTTTGGCTAGTCCTCACACACACAAAGCTGCAAATTTGTTTATTTTTCGACTAATCATCTTACTCTAAAAGTTGAATATAATTTAATAGCACATGTGATATCCTTGATCATTTAGAGTAAAAATGTTTGTCATTCTTGAAATATTGTATATATATGTATTTCACTTTTATTTAAAAAAATTGCACATCACTAATAAACCTTGGTGAACAATTTTAAGCATAAAATTTATAAGATATATTATGAAATCCCTGTGTCATCCCCATGATTTTTACCTGCATTGATTTTACCTGTATCATAAGATTCTTTTTGAAAGAAATAAAATACTCCCTCCGTAACTTAAAAATCTTCCCACTTTCCTTTTTCGTCCGTAACACAAAAATCTTCTCATTTCTAAATCTTCCCATCATACCCTCAATAATTCTTAAAATAATACACTATTACAACTACTTTTTTTGGATTTATCCTACATTCCACCACATTATTCCACTATTTTCCCATCATACCCTCAATAATTCATATCATCTTTCACTATTCTTAATCTACCTACTTTTGAAATGGGAAGATTTTAAAGATACGGAGGGAGTATCACAAATTAGAATACATGACGATAAAGAATAGCCTATCACATTCTGAATTGATTCATGATCATGTTCACCAAAAATTGATTAATAGTCAATAGTAACGTATCAACACAATGCCCTCCATGTCGATTTTAGGGATTGTTAAACTTGATAAACACTACTTTTAACACATAATTTCTATTTATATAATTTTCAAGAGTTTTAATCACACTATATACCTGCCATGGTAGAAATGAACTGCTAGTGTCCCCCTCCTAAAATGCGGCTCATACATCCAGAGCAATACTATGTTGTGTCCAGCTAATGAAATTGGACGTATATATATACTACAATTTCAAAAGTGCTTCGTATATGTACAACAAATTACTCGTTGGTCAATAAGATGTACTCGTATTGGCCTTTAAATTTTACTGATGTGATTTTTGAATTGACATGCACAGGGCTCAATACTTCCGTACCAAAGAAACTGACCAAAGTAGATATGCTTGTTATCTGCAACCCATGGACAGCTCATACGAATTTACCATCTATTATTCCTTGGACAAAAGAGTATTAATAACCGTGTAAAGCTCATCAATAAATGCAACCTCTATTGAACTATTGAACTGTACTTTTTGCTCAGCAAACTGCCCAGACCCGAATCTCTGTACCCGACCCGTTTTTGACCCATAACTTTGGGCGGGAACACTGTTCATTTTTTATCTTCCTTTTGTATAATAGAAGATTTGACGGAAATATTTTTAAAGGTCGTGAGTGAAGGGTATTTTTGGACCAAATTTTGGAATGTATAAGTTTTTTGTTCTAAAAAATAGAATAAGGGCATATATGTTCCAAAGCATATAAAAAGGGTATTTTTGTTCCTTTTCCCAACTATTTACCATGTTTTTGGATTGTTTATTTTGGTGGTAGCTTGGAGGTGTCTAGTATAGGTATGATTGGGGATATTAAGACTCTTAAAGTCAATTATAGTAACAAAACTCATGTATGTTGAAAAGTTTCGCTCATTTTTTGGTGAACTTTTCTATGATTGATCAGGGATTGAGGAGACCTCTTGCCATTACCAGTCTTGTGTTGTGGTTGAGAGTATGGTAACCTTAAAGGTGTATATGAACTCTATGTTTCTCGTTTAGTGGTTAGCGATTCGTGCTACTTTTTGGAAGTGGACCCCAGATGATCATCTCAAAGTCTGATCATGATGCAATTCTTGAGTCTAGATGGAATCTGTTGGAAGGTAGATGGTGATTTTTAAGTTGTTCGCTGGCTGTAATTTGAGTTTTGCTTTAATTTAATATTGTATGACCTTTCCTTTCAAAAAAACACAACAAATATATAAAAAATAAGATCTTTGTTTTAAATCCAAGTAATGACCTGAGATGGAACCCTCATTCACTTTCAATCAAAGTGTGATCATCAAAACTCAACTTATGTCCTCTTAAATAATTGTCCAATCAGTTTTGGGGACCTCACGGATGGAGTGTCATCCTTTTTGTCTTTCATATCCATTTTAGAGATTTAATTAAAATATTGACGTTTCAGATGAATATAATAAGATATCGATATCGTTTTGACATTATATAACAAAATTTCTTATCATATAGTTTACATTCTTTTCCTATTTCATTTTGACATTATACCTGATTTATTACTTTTAGATGCAAAAGTATTTTACCATGTTCCGGTTAGTTAACATGCTTGAATTTCGAATATGACTAAATGAAAATAGGTGATTTTTCTCAAAGCAAATAGTACTCTGGAAATAGATGAAAACATCATTAATTAATTTTGGAATCAAATTTATCAACTAACGTTTCTTAATAACTGTAGCAAAAGAATAAATCGATTACAAAAAAAGACTAAAGATTAAGAAGGTTGACCTTTTATATGCTTTCAAAAAAAAGTTGACCTTTTATATTCATATTAATTATAAAAATGAATGATTTATTACCACCGCAAATATATTTATTGTTCCAAAAGGTTGAATCCCCAACCTCGAGAGAGCACATGGGAGGATGTAAGTCACGGTGACTCGGTCAGCAAAGTGGCAGTAGGCCCATACACTCATACGCACCAGAGGCCCAACCTGGCAACCTTATTTCAGGTTCTGTGACCTCCACCCGGTCGCTGCGGGGATTCGAACTTTGGTCATTGTTCCAAATCGTCCATCACTCGACCAATTGAGCTACCCGTGTCGATAAACCGCAAATATATTTGTGATACGACAGATAGGCTCCCTATATATGGAACAATGAAATTTGTTGACTAGTACTACGTATTATTCAGACCACAAAAGTCTTAACACATCCTAACACCTTAGTATTCATCTCGTCTCAATTAAACAAAAGATTCCGTTGATCCGAATTGAAACAAAAATAGCTTGTACTTCACCCAATTACACACTTACATGTTCTCTACTTATAACTCTATTAATTATTGAACTAGTCCATAAAATGTGACATTCATAAGAAATGGTTGGAATATTTTACTTAAAAGAATAAATCAGTGGACGACTAACTACCAGGAGGCTTAACATAAGCCAAAATGGCGTAAAGGGCCTGGACGATGGCGAGAACCAGAAGAACAAAAGCAGCCAAGGCAGAGATGAAGGACCAAGGGGAGTTGAAGTAGGTGTATTTGAAGCTGGCCCATTGAACATGCCAACTGTTCCTGTAATATTGGTTCACTTCATCAAACAATTGCGACAAGTAACATGTATCGATATCGAACATCACGTCCTTCCCTAGCCTATTAACAAAGGTAGCCACTTCTCCTTCCGTCCCGAAATAATTCTCGAAAATATTGGAATCACACAAATATTCCACGTCCTTGTACGTGTTTATGAGGCAGTCCAATAATGTGGCGTACGTTGTCACGTGATTGCCGCACGGCCCCGCGCGGCATTGCTCGTACGCCACACAGTTCTGCAAGAACGCAATCATGAAGTCGTCTATAGTGATCGGAGGCATCTCGATCGCTCCCCGCCGAAATCTGATAGCCAGGAAACTGTCTTCTTTTCCTGGCTTCAGCTTGATTCCGGCTCGGCGCAGCTTCGAGATGCAATGGATTACATGGCTAGGGGATTCCGATTTGATCACGCCGAGGTCTTCAAGAACAGGCGGGATGTAACTTGACCGGAGAAAATCGAGTAAATGTAGCCCTTCCACATTTTCGAGCTTATGTAAAATCTCATTAGGTCTTTGCAATGTGTGGTTAAAGAAGGTGAGCGTCATCATGGACAAGGAACCCGACTTTTCGTCTGGCATTTTCGTAAGATCAAACAAGAGTTGGAGCACGAAAAAGGGTATTTGGTTCTCGAGGCGGATAAAGTCCCGGAGAAGACAAGGGAATATCCATGACATGGATATGAATGGATCCTCTTCCTCAAAGGGAATCACCCTTCCCATTTTGCGAAAGAGTTCAACAATGAAGCAACCATCAAGAACCAAAATCTCTACAAACTCATCGCTATCGAGCGGGATAGCCTCAGAATAGCATTCTCTAGCTTTTGCTTCAACAGCCTTGACTGCCTGGAAGTAGTCCACCAAAGTCAAACCTTTCTTCTCCGTCGTCCTCTCCACCAATAACGCCAGAAATCTCCACTTGTGCTCCTCGATCATCTGCAGCTGCGGCTTCCCGTGGTGGTACGGGCCGATGGAGCATATGTGAGGTTGATACGACCGGATGTTGACGTCGACGAAGCTCTGGGGTGCCCGGAAAATGCAGCAACACCTCCTGCCGGCGGACTTGCTGAGTAATCGCGGCGATTCCGAGAGCTTTTTTTGCATCAATTGGATGCGTTCTTCGTTGACTTGTGTATTGATGCTTACGATGGCTTCATCCCCATTCTCCTGCTCCCCGGAGTCTTTTCCTGCCATGTTTGGGTGTTCAGATTGGAGCTGAATATTCAAGATGTAGAAGTAAAACGGGTTGGGGAAACTTCATGATATGATTCGTATTTCGTCCTTGTTTGTTGGATAAATTTAAGATCTTGATGTTGACTGAAGAAAGATAATTATTAAGTACGAACCTGGTCTGGCCTATATGTTTTTTGTCAAATGATACTACATCCGTTCTCTTTTAATTGCAACATTGGACTTTTTTCACTATTCACATATTCTACTTTGACTATATTTTATTAATCAATGTATTATAAATTAAAATTTTAAAAAATATTATTAAATTCTTCTTATTCTAAATTTTCAAAATATGATTTTTTAAAATTTTTATCTAATAAGAAATGAAAGATATTAATGATCAAACTTGTGCGTTGGCAAACGTGAAATGTTGACTGTTGCAATTAAAAGGGAACGGAGGAAGTATTTCGAGTAAATTCACAATTTGGGTACCCATTTAAAAAAAGTATCGTACCTATCATTCACATGATTAGTCCAAATCATTATGGAGTATATCATTTTTAATTTAGATTTAAATAATTCAACTGCAACATTCTTATTGGTCTAAGTAAACAAATGTATGATACATTTTGGGTACCATAGAATCTACCTTCATTTGGATTTAACTTTGACCCTCCAATTGTTAGCTGTTAGGCCATTTGGAGTGGTGTAGTATTAGGAGTCCAAAATGTTAAAGATGGAACTTTTGGACTCCTAATTTCATGTAGTGGTAGGCTAAATAGGGTATTAAAAATGGAAGAGGGGATGGAGGGTGTTAGAAATAGAGGGTGGGTTGGTAGGAGTGAAAAAAAGAAAAAGAAAAGAAATAGGGAAAGGAATGACCAAGAATTCATTGTATGGATGTGAAGATGATGTCATCCCTGCATCATTTTAATCCCAAATTTTTTAAAACTCTTATAACTTTTTTATTTGTTCTCCAAATTTTTCAAAAGATATATCAAAATTTACGAATTTTTATTATCTTTCATATGACACCAACATGTAATATATAAAATGAAAAAAAAAAAAATCTTGTGTTTTAACTATTGGAATTTTCTTGAGCCTGAAAAAACACAAGACACAAATTTGTAATTCATGGAGCCTCTACACATAACTGAATATTCCATAATAAAACTTTACTTGGACTAAATTCATTTTTTGTTAACCGAAAAACGTAAAAAAAATTAAGGAAATTTATTTATTTTTACATCGAAATATGTATTTTTTATTTCATAATTATTTAGGGAAAAAAGTAAATTGAAAATATTACTTATGATGATTTAACTAATGTTTTACTAGATTGATATGTGAAAAAATATGCTGAATGTATTTTATTGACGGTGCTGGGATACAAGGAATAAGAGTCTAAACACTGTTTTCATATGGACGGGGTGCATTTTTAAATTTTTAGCCTCCCAACCATTTGTTTTAGTGTTCAAAATTTCTGATTTACTGTACCTTTGACTCTGAATTTACGAGATGAATTTTGTTGTTAACATGTCTGCTACTTTTGCTCTCTCGGTAGGTTACCTGATCAAATTAAAGGAGTGATTACGAGAGTTTTTAAAAAGTGCTTTTCAACTTTTAATTTTAATAAAACTGAATATAATGTTTTCAAATTACAGTTTCTTCTTAAATTAATCGCTTAAAAACTAAAAGCTGGAAGCAGGTGGAAGAGTGCTTTAAAATGAGCCTTTTTTACTAATATTACTAAATAAAAGAAGAAAGTCAAAAATGTAACTTAGTTTCAAATTTACCAAAAAAGTGACTAAACATGTACGGAGTATTCTCTCCTTTATTAAACACCGTATATTCACATTTATTATGATTTTTTATTTTTGAATTAGATTTATTATCATTATAAAGCAATAAACCGCTCTCAGCCATTCTCCCACCACCCCAGCCATCACTGCTAGCAGCATACCACCGGCACCGGCGCCATCACTGCCGGCCAATATGTTCAGTGATCACCGACTGTTAAGTGACCACCTACCGTTCAGTGACCACGACCGGCCGTTCTGCGACCACCGGCCTCAGTGACCACCTACCGTTCAGTGACCACCGACCATTCAGTGACTACCATTCAACGATGACTGTCTATTCAGTGACAACTTAGTTTAGTGACTACCCTTCACCGCTCAGTGACTACCATCTCCGCCGGCCGTCACTGAACACAGTCCATTTATCATCGCCGACAACACATGCGCCATCAGCTCCCCATGCCATCCCAGATCCTCTCCCTTGCCAATGTCCATTGCCCCCTGCACATCCCCAGACCCCTTCCCCCTGCCCCCTCAGATCGACTACTCCACGTCGATATGATCCTTGGCCGCCCGTCAGTTGCCACAGGGCGGTGCTCAAATAGAAAAGCTGAAAAGGAGTGAGAAGAGATACGCGGTGGCGTTTCTTCCCGGCCACAACCGCCTCCGTGATGTCGTTTTACATATCCCAACCGCTAGGAATGACGGCGATAAAAAAGAAAGAAGAAGAATAGCATAGTTGTGGTGGCGGTGGGCGGGCGGGCGGGCTGGTGAAGCAACAATTGCGACGTCGACCGTCGATACACAAGGTAGGTGGAGCCGATTGACGAAGCTAGGTGGAGGAGCTTCGGCTGCGGTACTAGGCGGCGGTGCTAAATTGCTGTCGGTGAAGCCAGGCGGCGTGACTGGGAGGCTTATTGGCAGTGAGGATCGGAGAAGAGGATGGATTAGCGATCGATGCACGAAGTGAGGCGGCTGCTATATTTTACAGGCTTATACGGGTTTTCAATTAGGGCTAGGCGCTTTGGCTTTGACATCGGGTTACTTGGGGAAAATCAAAAGAGGTCATATTTCTGAAATTGAAAAGTGTAGTAGTAATATAGGGGTCATTTTTTCTTTAAAATGTTTTTCACTTTTTCTATTACACAAAAATCACTTATTTTATCAAACACTACCAACTTTTACTTTTTCAGAATCACTTTTTTCTCAAATACTATCAATTTTTATTATTAAGTACTTTCTCCAAAATCACTTTAAAAATTTACTTTTTTGAAGTACAAACAATCGCAAACACTCCCTAAGTTGTACTCCTTCCCTATCGCTCGTTGGAAAGAAACTCGCCCAAAAAGTAGTACCAAAAATCTGTTATACTTTATAAAGTCTACAATAATTATTTTAAAATACGAGAAAAAGCAAAGGAGACAACCAAAGTCATATGAAATAAGTACGTTGTATGTTTTTCTTAGGTCACAGAAAATGATAGTAAAATGTAATTTAAATGTGTATGTGAGACCACGATCGATGTTGGAGCAGCAGTCCATGGGAGGTAGAGATGTGCTGCGATGAATTGCAGAGCCGGCGACGAGAGTGATGCGATGAATTGTAGGGGCACAGTTGTAGACTTAATTGATTCAGGGGTAAAAGTGTAAAATTTAGTCCCATTTAGGGAATAATAAACTTAAAGTCCTATTGTGGAGTTTAGTCTCATTTAGGACAATTACTTATGTTTTTATGTCACCATGTGTTGATCAAATAGCACGATATGCTTTTTGTCTTTGCACAAAATCTACTAGCTAAGCTAATCCTCCGTATTAAAGAGCATACACCTCACTCTCTCTAGCAATGTCTGATTCATGCATTATGAAATCCCATTCTCCTATAGTGTATCTGTATATGTTTAACAGTGTGGTGGTGGAGTAAACCTTGCATTTTTACACAAGTACAACTCATTATATCTTCTTCAAAGTTTAATATTCTACCATTATCTTTCACTACTTGAACTTCTTGAAAGCTTAACCTTTATACTTCATCATTATATATACGGAGTATAACCCAAGTTCTCCTTGAGGTAGCTAGAATGGATGTAACCAAGTGTCCCCTTAGTCTAGTGAACCCCCCCTTCGAAAACTTGTTGCGATTATCAGATTATGTTTCCCAAATACACAATATGCTTGCGGAATATTGTCCAAACCCTAGCATTATGTAAACTCTATGAAAATGAAAATGGAAGGACATCTCTATCTTTGAGTCCGACCCTCTAGCAAAATTATATTGGACTGTGGCAGTTCTACTAAGGTGATGAGTTGAGAGAGAATCAAAAGCCTCTCTCAAAATTCTATTGCATAAGAACTTATCCATGCGTTTTGATACCCTACCTTGAACGTCATAAAAAAAATCCCTCCGGATTTTTGACCAATAATTTTGGCGCTAAAAAATAAAGTGACAAATCTGAATGAATTGTCATAGTAACCATCAATTAGTGACAAAATATAAGAGTTAAAATGACAAACACGAATATTGTCATAACAAATCATTTTATTGTGACGAGTTCGAGTTTTGTCACCATTACTCAATACAATGTGACGACTTTTTGTGTGTCATACAAATTTTTGTCACAAAATGTGGGATTTCTTGTAGTTTCGTGGAATTCAAACTCTTGCTGAAAATTTGGCCTCCATCAACTCGCCGGTCTCCAATGCTGATCTCATTCAAAACAGTGTCAAACAGTGTCAAACAGTAAAATTTATCCCCCAATAAGTTTACTTGCATAAAAGTGTGTGAAAGTCAAATGGGGAACTTTTTTCGAGGACGGAGCTGAGGGAGTATAAAAATTGTGTGGTTGACGTGTATGCAGAGGAAAGAGAGTTAATAGGAATAAAAAACTTTTTACTTAAAAGGGAAAGTGACAAAATTAGTGGGACAACCAAAAAGAGAAAGTTGACAAAATTTCTATTCTAATTTATTCTTATAGCCATTCGAATTAATACCACTCAATGATTGGATTTAAATATCTCTGGGGGATAGAGTAACATTCAACAGTTTTTGAAAATCTCATAAAATATGCCAATATGGAGTCATATATGACTTGTTTATGATGTCATATATGGTTGATTGACATCACCACCAGCACTCAATTTCATTTCGGGCCCTCACTATAAATACAGTGGTTGTTATGTGACAAATGGGATTATATGACTCCATGGTTTAAAATAGGGCATTTTTCACAAATAAGCTTAACACCGAAAATAATACTCCTTCCTTCCCACTTTAAAGTTCCCACACGATTTACGATGTTTGATTGATCATAAAGTTAACTGATCCCTGTCATTAATAGAATTATTTTTAGTAAATAAAATTTACATATTCAGAAACTACATTAAACC